GGCTTTGAGTTCGGATTCGGATTCTTCGCATCGTAAAGCTTCCACGCAGTACTAGCAGCGGTAGTACTTAGGAGTAGTAGTAGTAGTAGTAGTAGTAGTAGTAGCAGCAGCAGCAGCAGCAGCAGTAATAGTAGTGGCAATAGTGGAGCGAACACACCCAAAATCCCCCTCCAACACCCTGGTGCACTGGTGCAAGCTTCAAACTAAAGCCTGAACCGTCAAAGTCGCAACAATCGCTGCCTCAGAAAGCTCGGGTGCAGGGGCGCTGGGTGCTGGCATCTCAGCTTGCGCCTCTGGGGTTTACGGGGCTTTGGGGCATCGGGTGTGGCAATCCTGCGCTTCGAAGGCCGCGGACTTGTGAAAGGGGTCATTGGGGCTCAGGGTGTCAGGGCTCGCGAGGTTACGCTTGAAGGGCTTGCGGAGGTGTTCTCAGGGTTCTAAGGTGAACGGTAAGCTTGGGATGTCGCGCCATCAGAGCGAAAGCTTTGCTAAAGCTGCTAAAGCAAAAAGAAAAGGAAGAACCACAGCAATCTTAGCGATCAAAGCAACAGCTGCTATTGCTACAACAATGGCCTTACCAAGAATCATCACAGACATGATCCTTGACCGTACCGTTTAGCAGCCGCCAAAATGGTTGCAACCAGTAGTGATAATGATGTTGCGAATAAATACCAATAATCAAAACAGTGGTAACTGCATCTGTCGTTGGCAAGGCTTCAGGGATGGCCGAGTCCGAGTAGCCTGCCCCTCGCCGATGTTGAAATACTGGCATCCCGGCTGTGGCGAGGGCTCCGCCGAGGGCTCTGCCGAGGGCTCTGCTGAGGCCGCGGGCCTCGAGGCTGCCGGTCTCTCGGAGTCCTGGCTTGGGCTTAGGGTTCTGGCTGTAGGATTTTAAGGATTTGGGTTGAGCGCTGAGGGTTGTGGTTCAGGGCTTGGGCTTTGGGTGTTCCATTGAGGTTCTGTTAGCATTTGGGATTCGGGGGGTGTGTTGGATTTGGGGCTCTTGGGCTTGGGCCCCCTGAGTTTGTCCGTCTGGCAAGGTTTTGGACTGCAACCATGTGCTGCAATAAAGGCTTTTATGATACGTACATACGTAAGTGCGTAAGTACATGCAGGCATGCATACGTACATACACACAGTGCATGCATGCATACACCGTGTATGAATGGTGTATCTATGTTATATACATATATATATATATATATATATACATATGCTACTATATATATATATATATGTATATGTATGCTACCCCCCGCCCGGCCAGGTTTCGCATGGGCAGGGTGAGTGAATTCGAATTCAGTCCGTAGTACTGAACTTCAATCCCGAGGATTGAACTTCCCTACTCCCGGATGCAAGATTCAAGATTCCAAGCCAAAGATTCCCCAGGAACTTGAATCTTGAATTTTGGATCCGGGAGTACTGAAGTTCAACCCTCAGAATTGAAGTTCAATGCTCGGGATTCCTCGCGACTGCTCCCAGTGCCCTAAACACATGCGTCGCCGTAAGCGCGTGCACGGGCTTGTACTCCATCATCTGTTGTTTTGTTTTCGTACTGCACACATAATAGGGGGATACAATAGACACGTACAGACATCTACACATTCGTCTTTTAGTGTGTTTGTGACGGCAACAATACAAACTACAACAACAACACTAGCAAATAACGACAATAGCACTACTGCTCCTAGTAAGCTAGCTCTCGCCTCTCTAGTGGACTGTAAAAACCACAAACAAGGTAGATAACTGGGGGTGGGTACCGTACATATATATATATATGCATAATTATACATACACACACACATGTCTGTACATACATACATACATACATACATACATACATACATACATATATATATATATATACTTATACATACATACACACACATAAACATACATACATACATACATACATACATACATACATACATACATACATACCCAAATACATACATACATGTATATGTATGTATACGTATATATATATATATATGTATATATATATATATTCATTTATTGATATACATACACATATATATATATATACATTTATATGTATACATATATATATAGACATCTGACATATGTATATATACTTACTATGTATGTATGTATATATATATATATGGTATACATATATGTATATATGCAAAAACCTAAACAACACAAACCCTAAGCCGCACAGAGTAAAACCCTGAGCGGTAAAACCCCCGACCTCAAACTGCAAAACCCTGAAACTCCCAACCCAAAGCCAAGATTCACGCATAGGGTTCAAGTGCGATCGGGTCGAAATACAACCAAACCGGGAAAATGGAACCACACAGTGGAAAACACAACTGAACCACTGTTGTGGGCTAGCCGAGACGGGAGAAACTACAACTGGCTATTGCGTTTGGACATTCTCTGCAGAGAAACCCATGGTACAGCCTTAAGGTTCCAGCACCAACGCTAGATAAAGATGGTTGTGATTCGTCCCTTCACTCTGCACCCTGGCACGAATGAGGACTTAACATGTAGACAATACTTAACATGCTTAGTTCGGTTTGTATGCTTTCGGTCATGTAGGTACGAACGGCATGTAGGCAACACTTAACATGATTATTTGGGTTTGTATGCTTTCGGGCTTTCGGTCATGCAGGTACGAAGAACATGTAAACAATACTTAACATGATTATTTCGGTTTGCAGGCTTTCAGTCATGTAGGCACGAACGTCATGTAGGCAATACTTGACATGCTTATGTCGGTGTGTATGGTTTCGGTCATGTAGGCACCAACGGCATGTGAGCAATACTTAACATGCTTATTGCGGTTTGTATGCTTTCAGTCATTTAGGCACGAACGGCATGTAGGCAATACTTAACAAATTGTTTATTTCGGTTTGTAGGCTTTCGGTCATGTAGGCACAAACGGCATGTAGGCTCTACTTAACATGCTTATTTCAGTTTGTATGCTTTCGGTTCTGCAGGCTCGAAATGCAAGTGCTCAATACTTAACATGTTCATTTCGGTTTGCATGCCTTCGGTCATGTAGGCACGAACGGCATGTAGGCAATACTTAACATGCTCATTTCTGTTTGTATGCCTTCGGTCATTGTTTGCCTTCGGTCATGTAGGCACGAACGGCATGTAGGCAATAGTTAACATGCTGCTTTTTGAACGCTTGATGCAGCAAAGTTGTCAAGCAATCCTTTTACATCCCACTTTCGACAATCCCATTCCCCAACTACTCAACAAAACCTACAGACCCTTGGACCAAAGGCCCCAGTTGTATTATCACCCATCTGGTTGTGTTTTCACCCATCTAAACCAAGTTCTAGAGATCTGAGTTGTATTTTTACCCATCTGATTGTATTCACACCCATCTAGTTGCAATTCGCCTTATTCTCGGGTTTAGGGTTTGGGGTTTAAAGGTCTTGCGTCGTAACCCTTCCAGGTGGCTCGGGTCCTCAGTGGCCTCCCACCAGCGCTTGCCATGGCAACGGCCCTTGCCCTTGCAGCCCTTGCCTTTCTTTTGCTCAGGCATTGTGGCGCTGGTGGTTCTTGGGTTATTTGGGTTTAGGGCCAGGGGTTTCGGTGTGGGCCAAGACCGTTCAGACCAAAACTCTTGTTCTCGGGGTCACCAAGATCCGATTCTACACGGCTTTCCGCACCCAAGAGAAAAGGAAGTTGCTCACTGGACTACCAGGTTGCCCTTGCCCTTTCCTTTCAGAAAGCGGCACATCCATCGCAGCTTGCCTCCGCCGAAGAAGTCCCAGAAGTTTCCTGCCAAGCCTTTCGTGTTGACGAGAATGCACTTGAAGTCCTTGTGCTCCGGACTGATCTCGTGCCTCTTGGCGAAACACTTGCCGCAAAGGTCGTAATCTGGATGATTGAGGCTCTTGAAGCGAGGGCCCATAAGCGGTGTAGCCTCACAGCCATCACAGGTGACGGAGTCATGCTGCAAGAGCCTCAAGAGGAAGGGGCCGAGAGCTTCCAAGGGCGCCAGCAGCTGGTCCTGCTGCTGGAAGAACGAAGTCAGAAGCTCCTGCTGCTTTTGGGGCTCCAGCGTGTTCAGGCCCCGCACCAGAGACTGCAGGAACAAGCCGGGAGCTGACCCCGGGCTGTTTGGGCTCTCCAGTAAGACCTCAAGATGGGCCTTGGCCTCGGCGAGGCCGTAGGCAGCAAGCAAAGGCACCAGCTTTTTCATGGCCTCCTGGAGGGTCCCTTGGATGGGCGGGTGAGCCAAAGCAGCTGCAAAGCCATGCCCCAGGTCCTCAGGGTCACCTGCAACCATGTCAAGCAGCTCCGGCAGCTTCCACGCAACCATGCCGGCGAGGACTTCCGGGGTCAGGATCGACTGGAGGCTGGTTTGCGTGCCTTCCTGTCCAGTCTGCTCTTCGTGCGAGGTCTCGTCGAAGGCCGGAGCGTTCTCCGTCTCAGGGCAGGCATAGCTGAAGATGTCGTGCCAGCTGGCCTGAGCTGCGGTAACCACTCGGAAACACTTGATCCAATGCCACAAAGAGCGAAACCCTCATCCACGAAAGCATGCAGAAACGAGAGAAACCACGGCGTCGGTCTAACTTCGCAGCAGGGCAACGCGGAAAGGGCACTCCGTCTGGAAGAACTTGCCCTTGCTCTTGCCCTTGCCTTTGCCTAAGCCGGAAACAAGGCTCCAGATTCAGTTCTTGCGCACCAGAAAACCCCTACAGATTAGGAACTGCGATCCCACCATTATCTCTTGTGCCGGATTCGGGATAGTATATTCCCAGCGGCACTTCCCCTTGCCCTTGCTCTTGCCCTTCAGGTCGTGATGGGCCCAGGCATTCCAGGGGTAGCAAGGCGGCTCCCAGTAGCTGGCACCGGGATGGTAACCCCAATGGTAGGACCACCTGGGGCACAAGGGTTCCTAGAAGGGTTACTACAAGGGCTCCTGTGAGGGTTACTGTAATGGCAGCTCTTCCAGACTAGGCTTCTTCGTAAAGACACCGGTCTTAGACAGACATTCTTGGAAGCTATGAAAGGGGAGCTGTTCAACATTTTCCGAGGGGACCTGTGGCTGAAGGTTCCCTTTCATGGAGCGGAGCTGCCTTGACAAGAAGTGTACCTGAACAACAACACCTGTAAGACTTTACAATGGACGGATAGAATCCTCCTAAGCCATAAGCCATCCTAAAGCCCCGCCACTCACTGAAATTTGAAAGCAGGGACCGCAGTCTAAGGGCTGTTCCGGAGAACCAAGCCTGTCTAATGATTATGAGTCTGGTTTCACAAGCTCTTATGCATTGCCTTTTCCGTGGTGTCAGGGTGCCCTCAGGTTGCAGAAGACCTTTTAGGTTCAGGGTTTCCAGGGGCTTGGGCCGGCCAGGTCCAGGTGCAAAGGCGGTTACCTTCAGCACTCTGAAGGCTCCTGCCCCCCTACTCCCACTGCATGGCCCCTTAGACAGATCGAGCCAAGTATAATTATGGTATTTCGTATTTACAGCATAGTGTATCATCTCCCGTTGTTGGTTTGGGGGCCTTTGGATCCCCTTTGCCAGCTCAAGATCCGAGTCCGAGGTCCCCGCCAGTCACCCTCTGCATGCCGTGGGCTGCTCGGGCCGGACTGGTTCAACGCATCGTAGGACGTAGAAGGTGCGCCCTGCGAGGAGAGTCGTCGTTGCTTTGGGTATCCCTGTCCATCCTTCCCATGGTGAGCGCAGCATAGCGTAGCCCAAACGGTCTCGATTATTGACCACAGAAACAAACGGTGGTGCTGTCCAAATCCTACACACCTCAACTTCGACCCTAAACCCGCGAACCGCAAACCTTAAACCCAAAGTCCCAACTAAACTCCGCACTGCAGCCCCAACTTGACTAAACCCATAACCGCCGACGAACCATGGACGTTCTAAACCCGAAACTCTACACCCTACACCCCTAAAGCCCCACACACTAAAACCCGAAGCCCAACCAGTCTCCAGCCTCCAGCGATGGGGCGGTCTCGGACATCACCGAGCGGAGTTCCGATCGGGTGACCGGAAGCCTTGGAAAAGGGTTCCTCTTCGTGGGTTGGGGGTTGGGGATTGAAACGAGAGGGTTTGGGTTTGGGATTCAAGGAATTCGGGCGCTTCGGCAAGCAAAATGCAACAAATGACTAGCACCAAGCAAAGACTCTGATGCAGTCGCACTGTAAAGTAACAGCTCTTTGATGGATTCAACAAGACTGCACAACGCACATCCATGAGAGGATTCTTTTACCTGCGCGCCACTAAGCTCAAGGCCTCGGGAGGTAGTGCAACGGCATGCATGTGAGGTTCAGACAGCATCAGGAAAGTAGCAGCTATGAGAATCATGTTTCACAGCCCCCATAAAGAAGAAATTTCCTGATGCATCCTCCCACTTCTGGAGTTTCTGTCTGTTCAACCCCTGCCGACCACTTTGCAGCGTTTGCTGCTCATCGGCTATCACAAAAGATGAGCTCTTCAAGAGACGCACTAGCGGCTCAAGGTGTGCCCCAGGAAACTTGGTGAGAGCATCTGCCGGGTTCAGGTTGTGAGGCACCCATCTCGCACGACCTTTGCAGATCTGCAAACTCTCCTTGATCACGGCCACCTCGAGGTTAGACCGATCGCACTCGCCGGCCTGGTCGTTGAGGATCGTGTCGTACAAAGCCTTGGCGTCAATGACGACGATGCTTCGGGGGTCTCGGAAGAGGTCGGCCTCGTCGGAGATCACCGTAGAACGACCCTGAAGTTCAAGAACGACCTCCTCGTGACGTTGGCGCTGCCGTGGATCATAGTTGGAGAGCCTCAGAGAGTCCCATAGGGCATCCTGCTTTTCCAAACAACCGGTAGCTGCAGAGAGTGACAAGGCCTCGCACAGCATGGAGCTCTGGGCCTTCCGCCTCAAACGCCGAGATCTCCACATCATCAAGCTAACTGGGGCCTTGACACCGGAGTTGAGCTCGTTGTTCGTAAAGCCCAGCAGATAGCCATGTTGGGACTTCTCGCGGCCAGAGGTGTCGAAGGCCGCATCGGAAATCAGCAAGTTGCGGATCTTCTCCTCAGGAATGGAGTGGATCCTCAACCTCACAGGGTGCTGCTTAAGCTGCCGGACCATTTCATTGGCCTGGTAGATGGTGTCGACGGTAGGCTCCGGGAAGGCACTTGCAAGCACACTTGCTGCAGCTGCAGCGTCCGGTCGTCCTTCCCGGCCGACCCACGTGAGCGTAGCGAGGACTCCTCGCAGCTGAGATTTCTCATGGTCATCGAGAGGGCTGTTGCACGCGTCCTTCTTGAGCACCTTCCGGCTCAACACCACTGGTGACATCCGGGTGTACACATACTCGTCCATGTGCGACTCGAAACTGAAATCGGCCAGCTGCTTGAGGGACTTGCCCGCGTAGGAAGACTCCTTCTCCTGGAGGTTGACGACCTTGCCGAAGGTGACCTCGCCCTCCAGGGTGTCCATCAGTTGGCGATGTCTCTTGTCGCCACCCTCGATGATGTCGTCTACCTCGATCACCATCACGCCCTGAGTCGTGGAGTCGGTCTTCTCGTTGGGCAGTATCAACACACACGGTTCATACGGGCAGATCTTGTAGCCAAGCCGTCCGGTGCGTTGGAGAAAGCTGGATCGCCACCAGGACGGCCCACTCACCAGGCCGTAGATTTCCGTCAAAAGCATGACCAATTGGCGCGGGTCTAAACCTGGCAGTGGTTCATCACGAGGTTGCCGACACACCAACGGAGTTTTTCTACTCGTGGGCCGCGACTGCAAAAATGCAGTTTTCACGTCTTTGACCCGAGCAGCCCAGCGTCTGCTGGCGCATAGTTGTAACACACAGTTAACGGCAGCCCCAGACGGGGTCGGAGCTGACCGCTCAATCTGGTGTATATGGGGATCACCCCATCCGATGACGCACCAGCGTGATTTGGGTTGACTCCGATCCTCGGTCATCTCGAGAGGATTCATCTGACCATGGTTGATTGCCGCCTGCTTGGCCATTTCAATGTCTTTGGCAGCGATCTCCTTCGGCTTAAACCGATCTACGAATCTCGAGTTGAGAACGTGCTCCGGATGGAGCCGCTCAAACTCTTCCGACTCCTTGACTGTAAGGACGCGGATGGCCTTGTTGTTCAGCAGGGAGTCGAACTCTTTCTTTCGTGCACTTCGGAACTTTTCCCGCTCCTCTCCCTGCAAACGAGAGAACTCCACCTGACCAAACGAAGTCTTGCTCTTCGTCAGGTACATGCACCGGTCTCGAGCACAGTAGCTTCCTTCAGCTTCATGAGCTTGGAACTGGGTTTTGGGAGAGAGCGGCTCGAGGTGTCGTCGTCCAGTCGTTTGTAGTTTCACCCACTTGGGCTCGGACACTGCCACGTAGTTTGCATGGGCCATCTCCGGCATATCAAACTGGACGACCTCGAGGTAGGTCGAGGGCTTGATCTCCTCGTCCATGAAGTTGCCCTTGGCGTAGTACGGTTGGTGCACGGGAGGACCACGACGTTCTCGAACGGGTCCAAGAAGTAAAGCCCCATCGTGGGCCTCGTCCACACGTATCACCGACCGTGGCTCCACCGTAGTTCGCGGTGGCTGAAGTGCTTCTGTAGGGGCGGTCGACTGTATGCTCTGTCGTCGGCTAAAGTTCGGCTCCGAGAGAGGGGCCACGTCACTAGCCATCTCACCGGCCGTGGTCGTTTCATCATCTCGTGGTACTGCAGGAGGTTCAGGGGGTTCAGGTTCAGCAGGAGGTGCAATGGACGGACTGTAATCGAAGTCCGTGTCCTCGAAGATCTCGGGGAAAATCTCCTCGGCCGTCCTGTCAGGAACTCCTTCACGAGTGACATCCTCGTAGCCAGTCCGACTGCCCTCGCGAACCTGTTCAAGAAGGTCTCGGTGTAGTTCGGTCACCAGAGTGGCACCCAAGTCCTCCTCCGAAGACGCCGGGCGCAGCTGCTCAGCCGACACCTTCCACAACCGGCCTCTCATATTAATCCACCAGGAATTGCCTCCCGGTGTCATCGCAATGAGAGCCCCAGGTCCAACCCAACCATAGCGGTTGTCCGTTTTCCGCCATACATAGGCCCATTGACCTGGCCTGAAGCTAAAGGAGTGGACGTCCGACCTTCGGGTGAGAGCGGAAGAGGCTCGGTGCACCGACACGATGTCGTCCTCCTTCAGCCATGCTGCGCGAGCGGCTTCTCTGATGGCCCAGCCTCGTTGAACCAAATCCCCTGCAGAGGCTCGAACCATCTCTTGGTCCCATTTGTCCGTTGCCATCAAAGAGCCCGGAAGTCGAAGGGAACGACCGAAAAGCCGTTGGTTTGGCGAGAAACCATGCCGATCGTACAAGCTGTTATGGCCTGCCACCACTTGGGCGACAACCATGTCAATCTCTTCGGCAACGGCAGAGGTTTCTTGCATGACCGTTTTCATCTTCTTTTTCACGGTTCCAATGGCTCGCTCGGCCCTTCCGTTCTTCCAGGGAGAGGACCCATCGGTAAAGTGCACCGCTGCGCCCATCTGTGACATGTACTCCACGAACTGCTCGCCCGTGAACTCTGGTCCTTGGTCGCAGATCACCAACTCTGGCACGCCGAAAGGCGCTATCCAACATTTGCTCAGAGCCTGTCTCACCGTCAGGGCTTTGGCGTCGGAGCACTGAGTTACTTGGATGTACCCGGTGCCATAGTCGATGCACAGCAAGAACACCCGCTCGACCCCGAACATGTTCATGTAGAACAGGTCCACCGCCACGATGGCATTGAACTCCAGGGCCTTCGCCAGGTGTGCCGGTCTCGCCGGTAACGAGTGTTTCGATGCCTCGCACAGAGGGCATGCAAAGTGTTCCTTTATCCACAGCAGTACATCTTCCCGAACACCAGAGTGGCGCAACGCTCGGAGGAACACATCCTTGGCTGGGTGATTCAGGTTCCTGTGCACCTTGAAGATTTCTCGGCGCAGTTGGGGATGTAGTGAGAACCGTCCCGACGCCTCGTGCTTGCGGTAGTCATCCATGGCTTCCATAGCTTTTGTCACCTCTGAGTTGTCCGTCACTGGTCGCAAGGCACTCTGAACTTCCCGAAGAGCTTCGTCACCGTCTCCTTCACCTCCGTCTCCATGTTCCTCGTCATCCACATTCATGTAGCTTGAGGTTGTACGTGCTGAGTCCGACGAAGCCAACGAAGCTAAGAGCGCCAATTTCCCTTCCCCATAGAGAGAGAAAGCAACCTCAGAGCGTAACACAAAGGCCGTTTGAGCGCGGACGGCTTTCAGTAGACCTTCAAAGGCCGCCCGATGGCGACTGGCCGCCGCTTGCACGTCCTGAGTTGATGGATGTGTGCCGCCATTCAGAGCCTGCCCATGACACAAACAGTGCAGGAATGACCGAACACATAGTTCCAACTCCTCAGGATCGGAAGACACCCATGCACAGGAGTGCCAGTCGACCGTGCCAAGAATTCGGTGTAGTGTCTTGTCGTTGGTGAGCACATGCAGCTGGGGCCCAGACGCGCACAAGGACATTGAAGTCGCTGACGACGACGGAAGTTGCCGTAGAAGTCCTCGACGGGCTTGCGTCTTGCACGCTACGGCATAGATGCGCCCGTTCATGTCCTGCTCCCGAGCTATAGAGACCATGACTTCCCAGCTGCTTCCAGACACCCAGCCCGTGGCAAAGGCTGGGCAGCATTCCTTGACTGCTTGTAGTGCTCGGCCTCGGTCATGTCGTTGACGAAAATCCCAAGCGAACTGAAAACTGAGTGCACGGTGACCATAAGCGCCGGTGTCCTGCAAGTTCTCGTCACGAACTGGAGACGACACTGGCCATGACTGCACCTGATCTTGGGACGACACTGGCCATGACTGCACCTGATCTAAATAACGGACCCTCGTTGGTGTAGATCGCTGTTTTCCGACTTGATGCAGGGAAGTGGTCGTCGACGACGAAATCGCTGAACTCTCGCTCTTTTGGTCTGACCTCAAGACCCTCGTTGGTGTAGATCGTTGTTTTCCGAGTTGATGCAGGGTTGTGGTTGTCGTCGATGCACACTCTTGTCCCGTAGGTGTCTGCGGTCGTTGGTGGTCTTGTTCACCCTTCTCGTCACAAATCTCTTCCAGACTTGCCATCACAAGGGTTTTCTGGGGTTTATGCAAAGAGCTCACTGAATTGCAAAAGAAGTTGCCGAGGTAGAGGTCATTGTACTCCCGTCCCGGCAACCGAAAAAGAACGTACTCAAAAGTCTTGGACTCGTCACCTTGTAGAATCCCGGCCTCCAGCCGGTAGAATGGCAACTTCGATGTTGTAGAAGTCGCCTGCGGTGACACTTGTCCTAAAATCGACAGGAGAATTGCGAGGCCAGATGCGGTTGCATAGCCTCGTGTTGCCATTGAGCGCCGAACAAAGGAGGGAGCGCTCTCCAGCATGACAAAGGTCGTAGTGCTCGTGGTGCTTGACGTGTTGTTCTCCGGCTTTCCTAGAGCTCGTCCTGGTCCAAGGTCTCCACCATGGCAAACGAGCTCGGCGTCTTGTCCGCGCCGTGCTCCGTGTCGCTGTCCTGAAGGGCAAACATTTCGGTGTGTTCTTGTTGGAGTCGAACCTGGCGACGACGGGAGCGGTCCTGGATTGGATGTACTCCCGCTGGAAGACTCCTGGACCGCCGTGGGGTAGTTTTCGCTTCTTCTTCCATAGGTCCCGACGTCATTCTCCCGGGTTCGTAGTCCGCCCACTCGCTGGGCTGGAGCTGCACCATCCTGCGAGCATCGACTCGATCCACCTCTCGCACTGGCGCACCCGGGCAAAACACAGCGATTGCCCGTGTCGAAGCGGATCCTCTTCCCTCGCGGATCTGGGTTTGCTCCTCGTGGTACTCCGGCTCGTGGGTGAACATCTCGTCCGGGTAGTTCGCCTCCTTCATCGCGACGTCCTTCTTGGAGTGGATCATGCCCTTCCGATCGTCGTTCTTCTTGGCGTGGATCGTGCCCTCCGGGTAGCCCGTCTCTGAGACTTCCGGTGCCATTGTCCCTGATCGGGTACTCGTTGGTGTCCTCGACGGTCGCGTACGTGCTTGCTCCAGAGTGATCGATCCCCGATTGGGTCCCGACCTCGGTGGTGGTAGCATGCGAGGGGGCTCGGTGCTGCGATACACTGGACGAACGTGTTCCGGAAGTGCACCTCGTCCCGGAACCACTGTCGCCGACTCGGTCCGTTCCCACCGACTCCCGCAACTCAGACACACCCACCAGTGTTTTGCCTGGTTGCCTCGCATTCTCAGCTGGTCCTCGATGTGCTCGCACTTCTCCGGCTCCTTGGGCCATTGCTTCTGAGTTTGACTGCGAGTCATCTGGCTTCCAAGTCCTTGTCGTAGAGGTCGTTGAGGTCGGTCCTTTCGTGGTGGTGCTTGCGGTACCGTCGAGGATGAAGATGCTGCGTCCTGAGCAGGAGCTACCGTCAAGGCATCGATCACCATCTGGTCGCGAGTCGTAGCGATCATGCGGACGATGATCCGCACCAGTCTGGCCCAAGCCTTCTGGCACCAGATTGAGCCTCGTTGCCTGCGTCCCAGGCGCTGAGGATCGGCCAGCTCGCCTTGCACAAGCTCTTGCACTCGCTGCTGCATGGCACGAAGTGATCGCGAGGAAGGTCGCCACTCGAGCGAACATTGAGTGCTCCTTGTTCCGATCTCGGGCCCAGGCGACAAAGAAGGCCGAGTGCTTTGACACGCCACGCTTCATGCTTGCTTGCACTGAAATGAACACATCCCGACTCTTCTCTCGGACTCGCTGCCACACATCAACCGCATGATCAACCGCATGAGTTTGCAGGGTGCTCGACTCCATCATACAACCTGCCCCAACCGAAGAGAAAACACCCTCAAAGTCATGCTCAGCATCGGCAAGGCCGGCCTCGGCGGAATCCAACCGCCCAGGCTGTAGGAGCGCCTGGCCGATAGAAAAGGAAGGCACCGACGCAAAGTTTGGGGTCGTAGGTGAAGCAGCAGAGACAGTAGAAGCTGTAGAGGTCGTGTTGGGCTCGGGGATTACTTGCTGGAAGATCACGGTACCTGTCCACGCGGAATCCAAACGACGCGAACCAAGGTTACCTTGCCAAACGTCATTGATGACATAGGGGTGCTGGCCATGAGGGGCATCCAGGAAGGTTACACGGGTGGCTTCCAGGTGGGACTGCATGTCAGGAGGCATACACTCTGAAGGGAGCACCATGCACTGACGCGACCCCGCAAGAAACGCAACCTCCTGCATGGTACCGCATGGTTGCCTCAGCCACACGGTCACTCCCCGATGACGCTGCACGGGACCTTGCTTTTGCGCTGGCCGAGGCTGTCGTGGCAACTGAAAGGGGTCCTTGCCACCACGCTGCATTTCCCGTGGCAGTTGCCATCGCCCATCGAACTCCACCACTGAGATCGCTCGGTGTCCCGACGGCAATCGCTGCATCGGAGATGCCTTGCCCTGCCTGGTCCGCACCTCGGCCTTGTCATAGTCGATGACCATGCCGATGAGCTCCTGGAAGGACACGGGCAACAACAGGGGCGTCTCGAAGCCGTCGGTGTCCTGGACCTCTGTGACACGGAGTAGCCCATTGGTCTGGCACACGCCGATGGGAACGTCCCAAATGCCCAGAACATGAGCATTGCCACCTATGCCAGCGCAAGCACCGGCAGGCCCTCGGACTTGAAGCGGTCGTAGGCATTGTTGCGTGAGCGCATCCTTGAGGCGAGAGAACGCCCCCGAGCCTATGACACCCTCCTCTGCTGCACTGTCCACGAGCCCCTGACCGGAGCCGGTCCGCACACCAGCAAACACAGCGATGTCCTTTGGCAGCTGGCGAGCATCCGGGTCCGCCTTGGTCTGCATGAAGGTCCTGTTGATTGCCCCCACGCCCTGGCTCACCACAAAGCTTGCTCGACCATCAGCCGCAGGAGGCTGTCCAACAGGGCAATCCCGGCTGAAGTGCCCAAGCTCGCCACAGCTATAGCAGCGGGTGCGTGAGAGCAAGTCGCTAGCCGAGCCGCGATACGCACCTTTGCCACGGCCCTTTCCGAGTCGGTCAGAGCGCTTTCCTTTCCCTTTTGCTTTGCCTGCGCCCCGACCCTTGCCCTTGCCCTTCTTGCCCTTCTTCTCGTCCGGCCGAAAGAACTGCCGCCCCTTCCTCCGCGCTTGCATTTCACGGCGCACGTCCTGGTAGGCGGGAAAGCTTGAGGATTCAGGCCTTTCTCCCTCGAAGTAGATCTGGTTGTAGGCGTCATTGTAGGCCCAGATATACAAGGCCTCTTCCTCGTCGTACTCCCGGTCGGCCTCGAAGTAGAGCAAGGGCTCGCCTTGCTCATCGAACTCCGGCTCCTCGTAGAAGCCGCCGTGGCCCTTCTCCTCGTCCCACTCGTCGTCCCCGCCTTCGCAGCGAGGCGGATCATTCTCCTCAGCCTCTTGCTCCTCGTCTCGCATCCAGTACGAAGCCGCAGGCTCCCCACTCGTCATCAAGTTCGAGGTAAGCATAGGCCTAAGTAGAGCATCCGGACGATCCAAAGGACGGAGAGCTGTCGCCACCTCGTCGAAGGTCAAGAGGGCGCTGTGCTTGATTGCCAAGGACTCCCGCTGTGCCTCAGTCAAGCTTGCTTGCCGTAGAAGGATCCGGCCCGCGATCTTTTCCGGAATGCGCTCGCCAACCAAGCTCTCCACTTCCTGGCGAGCAAGTTCCTTGGAGGATATGAAGTTAGCAAAGGACTCGTTCTTAGGTCGGTCTCCTTGAAAGAAAAAGGCATCTATGGATGCAGGGCCTGCTGCATCCAAGTATGGTTTGAACTTGTCCAGCACGGCCGTAAGAATCGCACCATAGCCCGCCTCGGTCATCACGATCTCCATCGGCAGGCCTTCGGCGATTCTGCGGGGCACGCTGCCCTCGGGAAAACTCTGGAAGAGCTTCACTCCCCACCGATGGCGGGGCACCTGGTTGTCTATCTCCCAGAAGCTGAGCTGTCGCAACCAGGCCCTCAAAGTACTTGTGTTTCCCGACCACGAAGGCAGCACCTTCCTTTCGCCAGAGACAGCCATTGTCAAAGCCTTCACGATAGCATCGCTGGTGCTCATTCCAGCCGATCCTTGATCTGCTGGAGGTCTCCTCCCTAAAACTTCAAAGGCACTCTGTACCCCTTTGGGGTGTTCTCCTGTCGTAGAGCTCCCGGGTTGCCCGGCGGCTCCAAGAGCGTTAGCCAAACCGCCAGCAATGCTGGCTCCAGGATTTAACGCCTCTCGGCTTCCAGCTGCTTCTCCACTGTTGTCTACATTCGCAGGTCTAGTGGGTTGCCCCGAGGGGGCTGGAGTTCCGAGCAACGGCTGTCCAGGAGCTAGCGGAGAAACTGGGCTCACAGGTATAGTCCCCGTACCAGGTCGCAGGCCCGCCTGGTCAAACGGCCGCGTCGTAGCATACGCCAAGGGGCCGGGTGCCAGGCCGGGCACCCCGAAACCATAACCTTTTCCACGCCAGGCTTCCATGAAGCTTCCAGGTGGACCGTTCATGATTTCGGGCTGGAGCTCACCGGCTCCGCTGCCACTGTAAAGTAACAGCTCTTTGATGGATTCAACAAGACTGCACAACGCACATCCATGAGAGGATTCTTTTACCTGCGCGCCACTAAGCTCAAGGCCTCGGGAGGTAGTGCAACGGCATGCATGTGAGGTTCAGACAGCATCAGGAAAGTAGCAGCTATGAGAATCATGTTTCACAGCACACATCACTGCGCGTGAATGTGGTGAAAATCTCATGCAGTGCTGTGCTCAGAGCATCAAGTCATGCACGGTTTGCCCATCTTCCGACGAAAGGCATCGGCAAGTCGCTAATTGCCACTACCCGTAGCTACGTGTTCCTGTGCTCAAAACTTGGATTGGAGTTAAGTCTTGGTCCAGGCAAGACACAGGCTGGGGCTGTCGACCAGCTGCAGCTTCAGAAGCAGCCGTCCCTCCTTCTGTCCTCGACAGACGAACGACAGCTTGTCGCTGCGCGGAGGCTTGAAGCTGCTTGGCAGGGAAGCATAATCCAGTGCTCTGGGATTACAAGTAGAGGGCCAAGCTCCATAGCCTAAACTAGACCAGAACAACCCATTTGGTTGGCCCCCTGGTCCTTTGGACTCGCTGCCACCGCCTTAGGCCGAGAGTAGGGGGCTCTGGCTCTAGCGAGTTGGCTCGCAAAAACGACGGAGAACTCTTTGCGGAGCTGCCACCGAACTTCAGAATGGTGCGGTCAGGCTGTACGAACCCTCGTAAAACTTCCGATATCAACAAGAACAAGACTCTGAAGACCGCAGACGAGCTACGAAGGAAAACAGATCCACACACATTCTGCACCCTGCAGACTCTGCCCCCAGAACATAGCAAGTCATGCAAAAAGGCAGCGACAACTTCAACAACATGCCTTAACCCCAAATGCTCAAATCGAGCCCAGTCGCCCAATTGTGCCAGCTGCAAGAAATCCGGGAAGGAGGAGGCACAAAGCGTGCAGGCATCCCCTGGAAAAGTGGGGGTTTGGAGTTCGGTGGCAGCAGAGCTGGTGCCGAGTTTTTAGCTTATGTTTCAGCATGATTCAGGTTTCTGGGATTGCTAGCATCCCGCATAAACGATCTCGGATACTTCTTGGATGTATGTGCTTCGGCGGTTCCTCTACGTAGAGGGCATGGGGAGCGGAGGGCTCTCAGCATCAATTAGAACAAGGCGTCGGCGCTTTGGGAAGTACAGGTCGCAATTCGGGATCTGCGACAGGTCTCGCAGCCTCCAGAGCCGAACGATCCCTGTGCGCTCCGGGTCTTGAAGAACTTCCATTGTGTGGGCTATTCATGATCTATTCAATTAACTGAAGGGTTGATATACGTACATAACCAATTGAGATATGCACTTACTTGTACATATATATATATATATATGTATATATATATATATCTGTTTGTACCATGCAATTGTTTGCTTGCGTAATTTCTTATCATTTACCGTTCGTCTCCTTACCATGATTACTGTTACTCTTATTCTTCTTATTATTGATTAATTTTCCGGTTCTTACTATGATTGTTATCAGGACTCATTCCCCACGCTGCAGTCGCTTCAGACTCCGCTTAGCGAGCTGACGACATCATGATGCTACTATACTCATGCTGCCGCTCCTACATTTTCTACTACTATTCCTACTACTACTCCTACTACGACCACTACTACTACCACTACGACTACTACCACTACTCCACTAACACTACCGCTACCACTACCACTACCACTACTACTACTACTACTACTACTGCGTGAGGGTTTGGTATTGATGATATGTTGTAGATGCTCACCTCACCGAGCGTGTTGTTGATATAGTTGTGGTATTGCCAATG